AACGGGAAATTTTTTCTGTTAAATATTTTCCTTTCACCTCCTTTTCTGCTTTCTAACCATGTTCTAACGTCGGCTTTCATCTCCACTTTCTGCCCTGCTCCCCTCCATGTCCTTTGACCCCTCCTCTGGGCTCGTGGCTCTTTCTGCAGCCTTTCTACAGCTACTCCTTGGCTCCTCCTTACTGCTGTCTCTCAGCCACACCTATTCTTCTCGGATAAGGGCTAAAAATCTAGGAGGTCCCGAGTGCAAGCTACGCACGTTAAAGATCCTTTGGTGGTCCAAAATCGATAAAAGTAGGCTTCGGCCGCCACCCGTGCAAAATTCAAAAACCCTTCCAACTGAAAAATAATGTTCGATGTGCCCCGCACGCTAATATGACCCCGTGCAGTTGCGAGCGCCGTAAACCCCCCCCCCCCCCCCAAAAAAAAAAGTCTCCCAGTTTCACAAACATGTCGTCTCCTGGAACCGCAAACATCAATTCCCCCGATTTCGTTCACGTTCAATCTCTTAGTTTTACTAACGTGAGGTCCCCTGTTTTGAGATCTTCTTCGAATAACGACCCAGACTATCCATTAAAAATATTGCTGGTATATTAGATGGCAGATCAAAGCAGGGATTAGCCCATAATGCTAGAAATTTAAAGTCATTCCAAGTTACGTCTACATTCTCTTTCTTCAATGATGGAGTTGAACATGGGTCTTTTAAAACAGGAGTGGGTTTTTTCTTTATCTGATAAGATGCTCAACTACAGTTCAGGTGATCCTGGTTCAATTCCAAAGTCTGATCCCAGGTTGTTTGATATATTTTTAAGGCTGTCCGTCTTATCCTGTTACGAATGAGCATTACGGATATTCGCCTGGTCTATGTAAGCTTGAAAATAGCGTAACTTGAAGAATTCGTAACTCCTTTTCTCCCAAAGCGCTATCAAATGGAAATTTTGAACAGTTTAGGTTGCTCATCTGTGTTTGTGGGTTCTCTCTTTGATATTCCTGGCGGGGGCGGATGGAAGCTTATTCATCCAACAAACTATCTTATTTATTTTGTTTATTTACACCCCCCCCGTCCTAATTGAAGCTACGATTGCCAAAATATAGGCAAAGCAGATAGTTGCATTTTTCTGCTGCTTCATCGACGTACGATACCATTATAAGTTTAACAGTATGGACCAATTTCAGCTCAACCTCTGTTGTGGCGGTTGTTTGATTCTGGAATCCACTGAACGAACTAAAGAATATTATACCTCGGTTAATGTGGTAAGAGAGCATGCCATAAATCATGAAATCTTCGTAACTACTCATGACAAAATTAACAATAGTGCTCTTTGAGGAAATGTGTCGATGGTGGCGTATAACATGCACGGTTACAATTACATAAAAACACTCTTCCCTCTCTGTCCACAGGCCAAGGTCAATTCGGAGAGCGGGACCTGACAGTTCAAGCGGGAGAGTACCTCCAATGTGCTCACTCGCACCCGCACAACTTCACAACTCCTCAGGTTTGTATGCGCTTCTTCTGTTCTTTCAGTCTTCATTGTGTCGTACACTGCAGGCCGAGAAGTAAAACGTTAGTGTATGGGTTTTACGAAGAGGCAGGACTGAAAAATTTGACATTCTTTTCCGATAGGACCGAGCCAGAAGGGTTGAGAGCTTTGAAAACTCTACAAAACGGCCCAAGCCCTAGAACGTCCAGTCTGGGATTCGAACCAGAGCCATCCGCTCCGTAGTCCAGCATGATAGCAGCAGAGCTAACGCAGCGCCCCGGGCCGAAAGCAGGGAAACGGTTATACACTATGGAAAGCAATCGCGACATCAGTAATGTACCTCACAGTGTCTTAAAATAAGATAATGTGTAAACTTTATTGATCATCCAGGGAAATTTGGGTTTAACATACCAAAATATGTTAAGATTCATCCAAGCACCCATCACATCCAAACATAATGATGCGTCTCACATAACGATGCACAACTCGCTCTCACAAGCGCACACAAACAGTGTATCCGTGGGTTTCATTTCTCTCTCTTTCACATGGTCTTGTTTAGTTTTAGTAAGAGTTTTACGGCACTTGCAACACAGGAGGTCATATATTGCCGAAGATTTGAGGTGTTACAACAGAGTAACAAACACAAAAAAGAAGGAGGGGAGATCAGGATGATAGATGTTGGATATGAAAAAAGGGGCAAACCTCACAAGAGCACCCGCCAACCACCCTCTTGTGCACTGTACCCGATGTGTGTCAGCAAGACACTGTGAGAGAAATTACTTGCGCTTGCTTGCTTGCTTGCTCGTGCCAGCTCGTTATATCCTAAAGCGCTCTGTCGGTTATAGACCGTAGTGTGGGTTAACTCTTTTGGGACGTAACCGGCACATATTTGTCCGATCAGCAGAGAACCAAAGGCCACGTGGCGGCGCAGTTCCAAACATCATACACAAACCAGAAACTCGAATTTGAATTAGATCTATATTTCATAGCATGCATTTTGTTGCTTGCCTTTTTCAGTTCGGGTCAACAGAAATTTAAAAAAAATCTTTACAGATCTAAATAACGAAATTGGGTTTCTTTTTCAAGAGTACCCCAAAGCAGCGCGTCTTCAAATGTGTAAAATGGGTGTCCTCAATCACTTAATTTTTTCTTCTGCATCCTAAATATTCTTAGTGTTGAAAGGGAATTTATACCCACACCATCTTAGAGTCGATTTCCCGACAGGATCACGTCGTATGTGAGGGAGAGGGGGGGGGGTGGTGTAAAAGCTCCCCACACAACACGTCATGTAAAAAAGAAAAAACCAAGTGGAAAAAGACGTGCCCTTCGAGGACTCGGACTGCGATCACACACTTTCCAGTCCAGCATGATACCTCCTGAGCCGATGGTTTTCCACTTCTCGGCTCTTGTGGTTTGGGTCTAACATTTTGTTCCAACCGTCTTTTCGACCTTTTTTGAGTTTGTTGAAGACGTATTCAGTCTGAATGTTCCCTGTGGGCGAGCCGTGTCGTGTGTGTGTTTGGCACTGGGCGGGATTGTTTTTGTTTTTTTGGTAAGTGTTTTACGGCGCTCGCAACTGCATACGGCCATATGAGCGCGCGGGACACATTAAACATTTTCAGTCGGTAGGACATTTTGAATTTTGCCCAGGTGTCGGCCGAAGTCTACTCTTATCGATTTTGGACCACCAAGGGATCTTTAACGTGCGTAAGTTGCGGGACCTCCGAGATTTTTCTCCGTTATCTAAGAAAGCTAGATTTAAATATTATTTACCATAAGATCAGGGGTGTGGCTGAAAGACAGCAGTAAGAAGGAGCCAATGAGTAGCAGTAGAAAGGCTGCAGACAGAGTCATGAGCTGAGAGGAGAGGACAAAGGGGGAGAGCAGAAAGTGGAGAAGAAAGCAGACGACATAACCTGGTTAGAGAGCGGGAAAGGATTTGAAAGGAGAACATTTTAGGGAAGACAATTTTCTGTCGCCATCCGGATTCGAACCCGGGACTTATTAAATGAAAGGCGAACACCTTAACCTCGAAACCACGAGAACCCCCGCATTGGGTATGGCATGAGCGGTGAACAGAAGGAAGACGGAACGAGAGGGGGGAGAGAGAGAGAGAGAGAGAGAGAGAGAGAGAGAGAGAGAGAGAGAGAGAGAGAGAGAGAGAGAGAGAGGGAGGGGGGGGGAGAAAGAGAGAGGAGAAAAAGAGAGAGACAGACAGTCTGACAGACAGACTGACAGACAGACAGACAGACAGACAGACAGACAGACAGACAGACAGACAGTGTGAGAGGTGGAGAAAAGTGTGGGGATAGTGAGAGAATTAGTGGAAACCCTAGATGTTTGCTTGTTTGCAGAAGCCAATCTGTGCCCTGTTTCTGCTGCTGTTGTTGTATTGCAGTTAACGTCAGATGTAGTTTAATCATGATAGAAAGGCAAAAAACATTTTGTGAGTGCAGCTTTATGAGAACTCATAAAACATAAAGTGTATTAACTTAATGCTTTCGAGCGGAACGTATTCTGCTTGACCTATTGGACTCCCATATCAAAAAAATTTACAGCCCAATTATTGACCTTTTCTTTTAAATGTCAAAACTTTGTCTCTCTTTGTTTTTCCTCTTGCCGAACGACAACTTTGACTAACACTGGAAATTGAACAAAAGACTTCAATATAATAGACGTGCAATTTCCCAGCTTTGGGGTTCATTGATATTTATACGTCTGGTTTTTTAAATATTATTTTGCACTTAAACTGAAGGCTATCGTCATGAAGTTTCACATCTGAGACAGATATCGGTGATCATGGTTTGGTACTCATTTCCCTTCTTGATGCTCTAAAAAAAACTATGTTTCCCTGGTCTTAGCTCGTCTCGTAACCGTTAACGTTCTCTTTATATATATTGTTCTTGGTCTTCTCTACCTCCTTTAGCTTCTTTTTTTCCAATGAGATGTTCAAAGCCTTTATGTCTATTAATGGGTCCAAGAAACTGCATTTTGTTTCTTTCTATTTTTTTAACGTCCCTTTCGAGCTTCTTTCGGCACCATCCCATATTCCTCTTATGAAATTTTCGACAGTCACCTTAGAAATCATATTTCTGTTGCTTAAAAATTATTTTCACTATCTTTGATAATTATTCAGCATTCACAAAATATAGGGGGATTGACCACCCATAGCCTTTCAAACCTCTTGTTTTGGTTTTCATTGAGATGTTTTAGTTTAGTTTTAGTAAGGTTTTACGGCGCTTGCAACTGCATAAGGTCATATGAGCGCCAAGAGGTGGATGCCAACAGAGAAGTCCAAACGGGGAATCAGGCTTACTCTGTTCACCTCTGTAGCCTCAACAGCACATAATCTGCTTCGACTATCAAGGTACCCCGGAAATAGCAGTTCACTAGACAGTGACAAACATACAAAAGAAGTAGAGGTAAAATGACGATAGTTAGGATTGGGGGGGGGGGGGGGGGAAAGCAGCAGTTCCTCGTTATGTTGTTCCGGCAAAGTATAAGCATGACTTTTATACTCGTAAATCAGCCCATTTACAATTCTACTGTGCATAAAAGCATGTTAATAACCCCCCCCCCCCTTCCTTTTTTGGGAATGGCCTAAAGTCGACTTCAGACAGCAGCACTGCCCTGGCGTGGGGGATGATATGTTTCTAGGTTGTGGTTGTTTTTTTTAAGGATTCGATTCATTTTATAGCAACTGTCTTAGCTGTTGCAATTCTTTGTTACATTTTCGTACATCGGATGTTTGTATTTATATATATGTATGTATGTCCGTCTGTGGTCTAGTGGTTAGGCTACCGGATTCGCAATTGTCAGGTTATGGGTTCGTGTGTTCGAACCACAGACCTGTTGGATTTGTTTGATCTTTTTAGCTTTGCTGATATGATTAAAAGTAGGAGTTACCTTTTTTTAAAAAGATATTACCATGCATTTTGTCTTCTTCACATTTTAAAACAACCCTTTAGATTCACTTTTCGCCATATCAATATCAAGACGAATTAAAATTGAAGTTCACTTCATGAAATTGCAATTAAAACTGCTGTGTCTTGGTCGATGGAAAGAACTATCAGCTTCCTAGTTGTAATCACAAGATCACGTTTCTCTAACACCCACCCACAGGCCCGTGGTAGATTAATCTGTAAGTCTGAGGACAGCTGTTTGTATTGATATGAACTGGTGAGCTTGATATTATCTTCTACTCAAATGAATTGGCGAAAAAGACCGCTGCATCGAGAGTGATAGATGTTGTTTTTTCGGATAGAGGAGAGAGAAATCCCTTTGCACATTTGTTTGGTACAAGTTAAAAGTGAAGAATTGCTGGTCTTGGCATTTTCAAATATATTTGGCGGGTAAGTGTTTTACGGCGCTTGCAACTGCATAATGTCATATGAGCGCGCTGGATACATTAACCATTTTCAGTTGGTAGGAAATTTTGAAGCCTACTACGACCGAAGCCTACTCTTGTCGATTTTGGACCACCAAGGGATCTTTAACGTGCGCAACTTGCACTCAGGACGTCCGAGCTTTTTTGCCCTTATCCGAGAAGTTTAGATGTAGATCTTACCTACCATAAGATCTTTGTGTGGCTGAAACACAGCAGTAAGAAGGCGCCGAGGAGTAGCAGTAGAAAGGCTTCAGAAAGAATCAGGAACCCAGAGGAGATGATGAGGTGGGGACTGAAAGTGGAGACGAAAGCAGACGACAGAACATTGTTAGAGAGCAGGAAAGGGTGTAAAGGGAGAACATTTGAGAGAGTAATATTTTCCGTCGCTATCCAGATTCGACCCCGGGACCTATTGAATGAAAGCCGAACACCTTAACCTCTAGGCCACGACAGCCCCCTGCTGGTCTTGTACTCAATAAATAAACCTCAAAAGACTCGTTGCACCTCGTGGGTCTGAGGCTGTAACCTGTAACGGTGAGTCGCTCGGACATAATTTCTCTGCAGGGATTCTTGACCTTTCGTACACCATACCCCAGTTCCTCCAAGTATCACGTAAAACAGCATGACATTAGCTTAGATGTTACCGTGCTGGACTGTGATGTGGAATCGGGCAGAATCTTCAACAGGACGTATTTGTCTTTCGATTTTTATGGGTTTTCTTTCTTGTTTTTGTTTTTGTTATAGGTGGGGGCTCTTGTGATCTAAAGGTATAGTGTTTGCCTCTCATTCAATAGGTTCCGGGTTCAAAACCAGACGGCGATGGAAAACGTCCTTCTCTAAAATGTTCTCATTTCACCTCCTTCCCTGCTCTCTAATTAATTTCTGTCGTCTGCTGTCGTCTCCACTTTCTGCCCCCTCCCCTTTTCCCTCTCCTCTGGGCTTCTGACTCGTTATACTGCTTCTCCTGGCTCCTTCTTACTGCTGTCTTTCAGTCACACCCCTGACCTTAGAGTAGGTAAGATCGAACACCTAGCCTTCTAGGATAAGGATGCATAATGTAGGAGGTCCCGTGTATATGTTGCGCAAATTAAATGTCGCTTGGTGGTCCTAAAATCAATAAGAGTAGGCTTTGACCGCCACCAGGGCACTACATGTCATATGAGCGCGGGGGCACATTAAACGTTTTCAGTTGGTAGAAATTTTGTATTTTGCCCAGGTGGCGGCCGAAGCCTACTCGTATCGATTTTGGACACCCACGGGATCTTTAACGTGCGCAACTTGCCCTCCGAGTTTTTTCGCCCTTGTCCGAGAAGGCTAGGTGTAGATCTTTCCTACCAGACGATCAGGGGTGTGGCTGAAAGACAGCAGTAAGAAGGAGCCAAGGAGTAGCAGTAGAGAGGCTGTAGAAAGAATCAGGAGCCCAGTGGAAGGGGCAAAGGAGGTGATGGGGTGGGGGCAGAAAGTGGAGACAAAAGCAGACGACAGAACATTGCCAGAGAGCAGGAAAGGAGGTGAAAGCAAACAATTTTAGAGAAGACAATTTTTCTGTCGCTTCCCGGATTCGAACCCGGCACTTTTGGATGAGAGGCGAACACCTTGACTTCTTGGCCACGAGAGCTCGCTTGAGATTCGTGGTTGTGTTAATTGATCTGCTTTCTATTTATAACATCCCATTACACCCAGACTATCAACAAAAGATGTTCTAGACCCATTCACGCTTATACATAGCGCACTCACACATTCCTTCATTCATTCTCTTTCTCTCTCTCTCTCTTTCTCTCCCTCTCTCCCCCCCTCTCTCTCTTTCTCTATCTATCTATCTATCTATCTATCTATCTATCTATCTATCTATCTATCTATCTATCTATCTATCTGGCTCTCTCTTTCGCTCTCTCTCTCTCTTGCTCTCTCTCTCTCTCTCTCTCTCTCTTTCACAAAAACAAACACAAATACATGCACACACACACACACACACACACACACACACACACACACACACAAACACACACGCGCACGCACACACACGCACGCACACTCATGCACGCACACATACACCCTCATTCATATTCTTACGCACAGACTCACTCCCAGACATCCATACAGACGTAGAAACATTTGGGATGACAACCCCCCCCCCCCCGCCCCCAAAAAACAAAACCTAACCCAAACAAACAAACAAGAAACAACAGCAAAAAAACAATCCCCAACAACCCCCCCCCAAAAAAAAACAACAAAAAAACAACAACAACCCCCAAACCAAAACAAACCAAAACAAACAACCCCAAACAAGAACAATCAACAAACCAAACAAACTAAAGCAAAAGCAGACTACTGAGCATGTCAATTCGGAACCACTGACTCCGATGCCCATGTTATTCACTCATCTTTTTCCCAGTAAGGGTCTACTTGAGCCCTTCATTTGAAACGTAGGCTACTTGACCTACTACGCACATTTTGGGTCTCCATTCTCTGTGCAGCCAATGTAAGGGTAATCATGACGTCGAGCTGGAAAGACAGTTTTATACTTTTTTAAGAACGGTAGGCTGAAGTAGACCTTCACCCCGTTTCCTCTCCTGCATATTAAGTGATTTTAGAAAACACTGTGAACTTGTACAAACTATTGTGTCGAGCATTTGCATAGATTATAATAATGTACCTGGGATAACTTGTTCAACGTCGTGGGGTGGCAACATGGTAACTTGATATATTTATTGTTTGTTTATTCATTTGTTCGTTTTGTGTATTTATGACTGTTTATTTATTTAATCATTCATTTAATAATTTACGATTTTCTTGTTATTTTTGTTTTAAAGTTTTGTTCCTTAATTGTAACTCGTATATTTCGTCAAAGGAACTTTTTATGTATTGTAATGCAGTACATGGTCAAACTTGCCACAGGAAAAAAAACCTTGCCTAGCAACATAATATCGATATCGTTGTGTTCACTTTGGCAAACAACCAGATTTTTGTGAACTCGATACATGTACTTTCTTTCTCGATAGAAGTCAGAAAGTGATTACTCGTCGTCGCGAGAGCAACTAGCCTTGTTGGATAAGACACGAACCGTTACCCAGTTCCAGCCTCGCCCTCTGTTGACCTAGTCAACAAGAACCTTTTCCGTCCATATTCCATGCGCGACTAGGAGGGCAGGTTCAGGACTCTTTTCTTGATTAACCGAATTTTTCGGTGAAGGGTCCACTTACGACTACCCGACAACCCCAATTTGCGATTTCGTTTGCTGAAACAACACATTCACGGCCATAGATGCAGTCTACAACAATTAATGATGCCGTTCTTATTAATACATCACACACAAACTTTATTAGAAACCTTTTTAATTTGATGGAACTATTGGTTTAACGGTCACAATTTTACATGGACTTTGCTAAATACGCCCATCTCCCCCCCCCCTTTCAATCCCCATTCCCCCTTTGTCCTCCAGAACTTTTCACTCTTGAAACGATGTTATATATAAGCGTGTCTGAACGTGTGTCATTGACCCGACTCACAAGCCGAATACCCAGTTGTCCTCTTTTTTCACCCATTGAAATTATCCAGCTAATTGGATTATGAGACTTGAAACTTGGCCAGCTTTATCGATTGGTTTTGCAAGTTTTTTCCCCTCTTTGTTAGCTTTTAGTAGTGGCCTAATGGCAAAGTTCTGTGGAAATAAAGATTCTTACCTTTTATATAGAGATAAAAAAACGGTTACATAAGCAGCGGAATCCGTTCCCTTTCATAACTCTCAGTGATCCTTTTGGGCATGGGCTATCACGCTATTATACTTTATATTCGATGATAATATACCCCCCCCCCCAAAAAAAAAAAAAAAAAAAACAAGAAAAAAAAACCCAAAAACAAAACAAGACCCGAAGTGGGTGGTTGGCATGTGCTCTGGTGTGGTTTGTCCCTTCTTTCCTATCAAACGTCTATCGTCCTTATCTCTCCTCCTTCTTTTTTGTGTGTTTGTTGCTCTCTTGTAACACTTCTAATCTTCGGCACTTATATGACCTTATTCTGTTTCAAGTGCCATAAAACTTTTACTAAAGCTTAAAGTCAAACATCTATCTATCCGTCTAAAAACTCCTACTAAAACTATAATTTAAAAAACGAAAACGAGAAACAATACTTAATATTAAAATAGTAACACACTTAGAATCGAACTATCCTTATATGTACTGTCTGCCTATCTATTCGCCCATCCATCCATCCGTTCATCTACCCAACCATCCAATGTGTTTATTCGTCTGTCCATCCATCCATCAATCCATCCATTAATCTGTGGGTGGTTGGCGGGTGCTTTGGTGTGGTTTGCTCCTTCTCTCCTTTCAAACGTCTATCCTCTTTATCTCCCCTCCTTCTTTTTTATGTTTGTTTCTCCCTTGTAACACCTCTAATCTTCGGCACTTATATGACCTTATTCTGTTTCAAGTGCCATAAAATTTTTACTAAAGCTAAAAGTAAAACATCTATCTATCTATCTATCTATCTATCTATCTATCTATCTATCTATCTATCTATCACCTTTCACTCGCCGTCTTGTCCCTCTCTCTGCCACTAGGGCGGAGGCTCCGTTAGCTCAGTTGGCATCATGCAGGACTACGGAGTGGGTGGCTTTAGGTAGAATCCCAGACTGAGTGTTTTTAAACGCAATTCGTTTTGTGGCGTTTTCAAAATTGTCAGCAAATTTCTTTCGGTCCTATCGGAGACAGATGTTAACTTCTGAGGTCCTGCCTCTTAAATTATAATTTAATAATCTAATGGTGATGACATTGGCGTTAGACCCTCACTCACTTTGTTGTTTTACTTCTCCACCTCCAGGTCCACTTTGCCTTCTATAACAACGTGACAGAGCCAATGGCCGAGGCGCTCACTGACATGGGTGTCACCGTGTGGGGACGGCGTGTCCCTGTCAGGCCGGAACTGCAACAGAAACTGGCACTACACCTGGCTCACTTGGACGACGATGATGACGATGAAGAGGATTACGACCATAATGAAGACGACGACGACCACGAAGACGATGACGATGACAAAGACAACGACGACGAAGACAGAGAAGAAGAAGACGAAGAAGAGGACGAGGAGGATAGTGGTATCAACCCGCCCTACGAAACCGAACAGCTGTCGGCGGCTACATCTGGAAAGGAAAAGAACTTACCGAACCCCACTGGTGGGTGTATAGAGCCATGTGCTCGTACAGAATCAACACCGACTATTACGGATGATTCTCCGTGCCTCTTCGATATATGCCCGGAGAAATACGTTTTGGGAGGCACTATCTCTTCAGTTTATTGTGATGATATTGACGATATTAGAGAGCGTATATCAACAATGGTAGAAGACTCCGCCCCAAGCCACTCCGTTTCGACACCCGAGCACGCCCCATCAACGCAAGTCGATGGTGTGGAAGAGCCGTCCCCTGGACCGGTGGTCGCCCTTGGTGAATCACTTCTCGGGGGCAGTTCACCCAGCCTGCAAAAAAACTCTCGTGATTCGATTCCGCCCGAGTCTTCTCCCTTACCCGCCTGCACCATCGGGGATTTACGGCCTCTTACAGATGCCATTGTCACTTTATGTCCTTCCAGAAGCTCTGTTGGGGGCGGCTGTAGTGGTGGTGTTGCAGAACAACAACGTGGTATTTCCCAACAAGGAAGTGACAGCCAGCTGGGAAAGGTCAACATTGTCTTTCAGTGTCTAGTGGTTAGGTAAGAGTGGCTTGTGTTTATTTTTCCGTTTTCTGTCTGTCAGTTTGTCCGTCTGTCTGTCTGTATGTCTTTCTGTCTGCCTGTCTGTCTGTCTCTTCTGTCTGTCTGTCGGTCTGTCTCTTTCTATGTGCCTCTTTTTTTTCCTCTTTTTTCCTCTTCTGTACCACCATCTCTCTCTCTCTCTCTCTCTCTCTCTCTCTCTCTCTCTCTCTCTCTCTCTCTCTTCTTCTTCTCCTTCTCCTCCTCCTCCTCCTCCTCCTCCTCCTCCTCCTCCTCCTTCTTCTTCTTCTTCTTCTTCTTCTTCTTCTTCTTCTTCTTCTTCTTCTTCCTCCTCCTCCTCCTCCTCCTCCTCCTCCTCCTCCTCCTCCTCCTCCTCCTCCTCCTCCTCCTCCTCCTCCTCCTCTTCTTCTTCTTCTTCTTCTTCTTCTTCTTCTTCTTCTTCTTCTTCTTCTTCTTCTTCTTCTTCTTCTTCTTCTTCTCAAATTTGGCAAATGGTCTGTATGGAGCATATTAGACCAAGACGTCGGGGTCATTTTTCACCAAATATTATTGATAGTAAAAAAGAGGGGGGGGAGAGGGTAGAAATGCCCAATATAAAGGCAACAGGATGTTCTAATGTTTTGTTCCTCAGTCCCCCTGATTTCAGTCCGGGTCACTGCCCGTCCATGTCCCAGCCTCCCGTGAGCCAGGGTTTGACGACGGTCAGCAAGGTCAACCTGGACATCACGTGCATGATAGCTCTGGTGTCCGCACTCACGCATGGCGGATGCCACACAGAGTTCAGGGAGAAAGTATTACGTCGCCAGGCAGAGGAAGAAAGACGAGAACCGGTTCTACCAGCACTGCAAACCTTTCTGCAAGGTCAGTGAGATACGACATGTACTGTCTTTGGGCGCACCTTTAGCTCAGTTGGTATCATCGCGCACTACTGAGCAGATGGCTCTGGCTCGAATTTCCGACAGGGTTGTTCTGAACTTGGGGGTTTTTTTTGTGTGACTTTTTAAGCCCCCCCCCCCCTCCCATTCGGCTCTGTCCATGGCGTTCTTTACTTAGTAGAGTACGCTATGGCTCTGTCCTATCGGAGATGGACGTTAAATTTGGAGGTCTCGCCCAAATGACCCCACAGCGTTGAGAAGGGCGTCAAACATACAACGCAAATAGTACTTACTTTTTCTTTTTCTTCAAGTGCCATGTCTGAGACACATCGGTAGTCTTGCCTCGCCATAACTACTGATACGTAACGCATTTTAACTTTTAAAAGAATATATTATCTAGTGCTGTATTACTTTTATACAGTATTTTCACATCGTTTGTTAAACTTTAAGAGCTGTTAAAGTGTCATGGTAATTGATAGACGGTCATGGGAGACAGATAGATGTAAATAAGAGACCTTAAAATTGTTTCTATCGTGATGATTGAATGGCATGTAAAGTGGTAAGCGATTGGCACGTATAATGGTAAGTGAGAGACACGTATATTTGTAAAGGATATACGTGTGAAGTGGTAAGTGAATGACTTGGTAGGTTTAAAGAATAGACATTTATATTGTTTGGTGATAGTATACATTTAAAATGGTAAGTGATATAGCTTTATACTAATAGTGGCCAGTGATAGACACGTGTAATGGTAGTGATAAACATTTAATAGTTGTAAGAGATATACACGTAGAGTGGCAAGGGATATGCTTTTTTAGTGGTAAATGATAGACTGGTGTTGTGGTACATAATTAACATTTATGTAAGAAATAAACATGTATAGTGATACGTGATAGATATTAAATGACTGTGGCAGTGGGTAGACATGCATATTTAGTGGTAGGTGGATGATAGTATAGTGTTAAGTGAATTGTGTATGTAAATACATGGATATATATATA